ATTGGTATAGTCCAGATAGCTGCAGTTTGGCAGAAAAACTGCAGCAATAGCTGGTTGAAGAGCCAGGCCTAAAAGTGCAAAGAGAGCTTTTAACACCGGCTCAAGCTTCCCATCTGCAGAATATTTGAATGAAGTAACGTCTTCAATTGGAACAGTAAGACAGTTAAGATGGAGATGGCAGGGTCTACTACCACAACAGACCACTTTTTTTTGTTATTATCATACAGGATTTATATAGAGCCAACAGTTTGCTCAGCGCTTTACAATATAAAGGGAGACAATACAGCAACAATACAGTTCAATACAAGAGGGATAGGAGGGCCCTGCTCCTTGGAGCTTACAATCTTTTTGTGAACTCTTTTTCCACTGGATAGAGCTAAGCAATGATTTTTGGAGGGGTGAAAATAGTTTGACCCAATCATTTCAAATAGCCTATTGTATTTGTTTAATAAACGGGGAATGTCTTTTTTGATTTAGCAGTTCTCTTTGTGCTCATGGTGAGATGGAGATTGGGCATACTCACGAAGGGGTCTTCAGGGTCTGGGTTCTGGATGGACCACAGTCCTGTACCTGTATGGCACCCTGCAGCTAACCACTTGCGTTGCACAAAGTGCACAAGTGAGCACCCGTGTATATTTCAGTTCCTGAAGCAACATTAGAGGCCATCACTATGTTGAGGGATCTGGACACAGTTCCCAAAAGTTTACAGATGGATGCACTGCTTCTATTGTTATAAGACACTGAAGAGTTGATTGAAGAATCTGAGAAAATAAACTAGCTAAGCTAAGTGATTTCTCTCAAGGGGAGAAGTGGTCTATCACTTTATAACACTAGCAAAAAACTAAGGACTCACCGAGTGGGGTAGGGTTATAAAAGACACGGAGAAATGTCCTCAAAAGCTTGCGAGCGTCCAACCACATGAACGTACTAGTCTACAACCCAGGGGCTATGAACATTCAGTCTATGTCCTGCACTGTATGATATTATATTTGTGTTTTTGGGGGGTTAAAAGGAAAAGTACAGGCAAAAGCTCTTTTGGCTGTACTTTTCCTGTGGATCACAGGAGTGCAGTTCGTTCTGCACTCCTGTGACCTGTTTTCAGCGGACTGAAGTCTGCTGATGTCACTCAGATAGTCCAGGCTGGGGTAAGATCCTGACTAAAGTTGGGATCCACCCAAGAGTCTGGAGCGACACCTGGCTCAGGCTCTCAGTGCAGCGCTGAGAGCCTGAGCCAGCCGCTCCCTCTAGCACTACAGTAAGCACTGGGGGTTGGGTAGAGCAGCCAGCAGTGACTGACAGTCACCACTCTCTGCTTTGTTTGTGAGAACTCAGAAATCAGTGGTCATGTGATCGCCGAGTTCTCACACTTGGGGCCGGCGTGGGACAGATGCAGCATCGAACCAATGCTCAATTCACCTAGGCAAGTATAACTGGGGGAGAAAAAACTAAACCCATATTTCTCTTTTAAATACACTTCAAAGTAACCTGAGTGAGCTTTTTCGTCTCAAAAATACGGAGGCTGTTACCACAGCTTGCACAATGCACAACCAACAACATGCAGAGAGCTATAGGAAGATGCCATAACGTACACAGGCATATGAATGTATGACTGCAACCTTCCTTGATGCGTTTCACCATCCTTGTGAGTAAAGCCAGCCATACATGGGTCGAATTCCGAAAGAACTTTCTTTCGAAAATTTTTTCTAAGATTTTTCATTCAAATTTCACATCATTAGTGGGCCACAGCAACAGCCAATTTTCAAGCAGCCATCTAGATCGGGCATGTTGGAAATTTTTTGAAAAACAAATACATTTCTAAATCAATAATGGGAGAATCGTGCGAGAAATGTAATCGAAAAGAAAAGCAGCGTGAGCTGTGACCTGGAAAGAAAAGAAAATTCTTGGCCATGAAAATTCTTTTCTTCTGTAGCAACATGAGGTGAAATTGAAGGCTTAGTTGGTTGAATTTCAAAATCAATGGTGGCACCATCGGATTACAGAATACATGAAAACTCAGATTTTCTAAAGAACATTAGTTCGGAATTCGACTCGTGTATGGCCTGCATTAGCCTGCAGTGGTGAAACACATCAAGGAAGGCTAATTTTTGGATGGAGACATGATTCATGCAGTCTTTGACAAACACAGACACAAGAGCTAAGTTCTGGTGTGCAGCTAATATCTGTTATATTTTTGTCGAAGAGTGGAGACGGGCTGTGGTAGCTGGCACCCGGGTTGTCCGTGTGTGATGAAAGGACCAAGCCTTGAGCAAAGCCTTGGATTTGAGTATGTTTTTGCAACACCCAGGCTGCAACACTCACATGATGAACCTTGTGACAAAATGTCAATGACAGTGGGACTTGCTGTCCAAGTGGCCACTTGATTTATTTGGGATTGTACAAACACTCTGCATGTTTGTGAAGTCCATTTAGCACCATAATACATGGCTATGTGACTTTGGAGTAACTACAGTGTTATGCTGTGATATAAACTAGAGTAAATACTACCTGAACCACATTACTAATAACCACCTCATAATAAACACAATATTCTGAATTAGCTATTCAAGAAACAGGTAGACTTCTAGTGAAGACAGGAACTCTCAGCACTCTACTTACAAGACCAAAACAATAACCTATAGGATAATCACATTTTTAAATATTATACATAGTTACATAGTTAGTCTGGCTGAAAAAAGACAAAAGTCCATCCAGTTCAACCATTAAAAAAAAAAAAAAAGTTATAATCCTATACCCACAGTTGATCCAGAGGAAGGCACAAAAAACCCCCAGCAAAGCATGATCCAATTTGCTCCTGCTGGGAAAAAAATTCCTTCCTGATCCCCCGAGGGGCAATCGGATATTCCCTGGACCAACTTTACCTATAAATGTTAGTATCCAGTTATATTCTGTGTATCCAAGAAAGAATCCAGGACTCTTTTGAAGCAATCCACTGAGCTGGCCAGAACCAACTCTTGAGGGAACACCATAAAATTGGATTAAAAAAAAAACACACAAACGGGTTTTGTATCATAAACTTTTTTGTTTTTATTGCAAAAAGAAACAAAGGGAAAGCGAGAGCGCCCCCGCAGAGAAAAATATTATCCAGCCTCTTTTTATACAATCTAGTCATGGGCCAGGGAAAGGAACTGGCCGCAGTGCACACACATGCCTCCTATGTGTGCAGTAGTGGCCTTCAGTATATATTTATAGAACTTTTTGTCTATATGCAAAGATGGCTGCCCAGTGTGGGAGGAACTAATGCATTGGTGGGTGCTCTTCTGCACCGACATTTTCACTGAGGAGAGGGGTCGGGCACAACAGACGAAAAAAAAAAAAAAAAAAAAAGCAACAAATCCAACTTAAGTTAAAATTCAAAAAAATATAATATTAACTCTTACTATTTATCAGGAAGCTGCCCGCCCCTCTCGTTCATGCACACACTCTGCTCCAAACGCCCAGAGAGATCAACCTTAAAGGACCCCTGCCGTTTTGTAAAAGACCATATATGCTGTGAAGGAAGGTGGGAAAGGAAGGCTTTGACCTTGTCTAATAAATAATAAAGGTTTTTTTGTGTATCCTGGAACTGATTAGCCCCATTTTATAGGTATGTTTAAAGCCCAACTGATTTTTTTAAATCAGCTAAATGAATTGCAGGTGTATTAAAACAAAAGCAGCCACCTCCTGAGTAGAGAAAAGTTTGCACCTGCCCGCGTATTGTAGAGAAAGACACTTGTTCTCTGTGGAGAAGCAGTGATTTCTCCGAAGAGGGCCGACACATCCCCTGCTGAGTCAGAGCTAGAGCTCTCCCATCACACACAAAACAAGGGTCTCTCTATAACATGCTGGAAGGGGACAGGTTTCTCTACTCAGGATGTGGCCACCAAAAAAAAAAAAAACTAAGACTTTAATCACCTTTTGTTTTGATGCACCTAATGTGTATTTAGCAGATTTAATCTGGATTCTGGCCACTTGGTCTTACAAATAAACAGATGAAAGGAAGAGAGCTGACCTTCTGGTTAAACTAATTTGGCTTTTGTACCTTGTTCTCTTACCAGTATCCTGAAGAGTTAAATAATACAAAGAAAAGCTAAACAAGTTTTCAGGATAATCGGGTTAACAAAATCATATTTGGAAGAGCCAACGTGGAGAACGCACAAGCTACAGTAAAGAAACCGGTGCATGAAACAAAATCTAAAACCAGCGTACAAACATAATTTTCTGCAGCTTCGGCTCCCCACATAAATTCTTCAGAATAATGCTTCCTCACCAGTTTTCTTAGTGCTTTCGTAAACAAGAGGACAAAACTGAACTCAGACCCAAGCATAGTATCACTTTATACATCTACTAAAACCTTAATATGAAGAATGTACACCACGTTTTGCCTCCACTACCTTCTACCTTTACAGCATTACGTTTAAATACTAAATGACAGGTGCTCTTTAACTAACACACACACATGCACACACACACACTTAATGATGAACAGAGTAAGACAAAAAAAAATAAATGGATGTGGCATTTCAAATATAAAGGAAAAAAAAAAAAAAAAAAAAAAAAAAAACCTATTTGAGCTGCCTGCTCACTCATACTCTCCATTTACCTGCCTGGAGGAGAGATGGATCTGGAAAAATAGGAGCCAAAATCAATCAATCTTTAAAATAAAAAAAAAAAAAGTTCTTTGCTCTGTGACTATGGAGATCCAGTCTTAAGAGGTTTCAATGTTTCAGCCCTGAAAGGTACCCATGAGCACCAGGGCCCGCCAAAGCTGTTTAAATACCCGTTTCAGATTTAGCCCACTTTCTTGCACCAGGTGACTGCCCCTCACGGAACTGAGATGGGGCAGGATGTACAGACGCCAATTATTGCTCCTTGTTTGTGTCAGACGAGGGAGGCAAGGGAGCCAGAGAGAGCCAACGAGGAGGAGGAGTGATTGACAATGTGCGTCCCCCAGCAACGTGGCCTCTTCCAACACCGCACCTGCAGTGGATGCCCCTTATGTTCTAGGTGATCCTTTGGATGAGCTTGTCATCTGACAGACAGTACAAGGTGCTCACGGACAGGTCCGATATAAACCCCTCACATGCTTTTCGAGACACTTGTTTGCAGCCACGCAGGTCGATGAGTGTCAAACTGGAGGCTCGCCGAAGGTAGAGCAGAGACTCGTCTGTGACCCCTTTGCAACCTGGCAAAGAAAAACAGCATTCATTTTAGAGAGTCTAACTCAAAGGTTGGATTTGTTTGCTTCTCAACAAATCACCCCTCCATCTTTATCCACTTGCCCTCCAGAGGATTCCCCCCCCCTTCCCCCAACCTCTTCCTGACCAGGCTTTAACTTTAACTGACAACTGCGCGGTCATGCAACGCTGCACCCAAATGAAGTTTACATCTTTTTTTCCCCCACAAATTGAGCTTTCTTTGAGTGGTATTTGATCACCTGTGCGTTTTTTATTTTTAGCACTATAAAAAAAAAAAAATACAATTTTGAGTAAAAAAAACAATATTTTTGACTTTTTGCTATTTAACATGTGCAGTGTAAAAAAAAAAAAAAAAAAAAATCAAAATCGTACTTCGTCATAAATTTAGGCCAAAATGTATTCTGCTCCATGTCTTTGCTAAAACAAAATCCCAATACGTGTAAATTAATTGGTTTATGTGAAAGTTTTACCATTTACAATTTGCAGTATAAATACTGGAATTTTTTTTTTTTAATTTTCATTTTTACTAGTAATCGCGGCGATCAGCGACTTATAGCGGGACCGCTGCAGGCATTCTGAAACTGGAGGAAATGACTTGGTATCGCCGACATCCCCAGTGACACAAATACAGTGATCAGTGCTAAAAAAAAAAAAAACCACAACAAACAAAAAAAAAACAATGACATTGTACTAATGGCACTGGGCAGGAAGGGGTTAACATGAGGGGCAATCAAAGGGTTAACTGTGCACAGGGAGTGTTTTACATAGGGGGGCCGTGTCACTGTGCTTCACTGTAAGCACACTGCTGTGGATGGCTGTGTACATCCAAAGCAGTGTGCCCGAGCTGACAGGGAGGAGAACTGTTAGTAAACAAAACAGTTCCCCTCCCCGTCGGAGATCGTCAGAAATCACTGGCCAGGACCCGGTGATTGACAGCCGCGGATGGTGGCGCAGGATGGGCTCGCACGTGTCCCCTACCCGAAAAATGTTAATTCACATGTATATATACACATGTGATTTTGCACACCCAGGTCGCCCTGTAGCAGTATATCTGCTATAGGGTGGACGGGAAGTGGTTAAAGTGGTTGTAAAGGTGGAAGGTTTTTTTTACCTTAATGCATTCTACCTGAGCCCGTCTTGATTCAGTGATATGCACTGTGTCTATGGATACAAGCACACACAAGTGCCCCTATAGCAAGCAGCTTTCTATGTAGGCACTCAGCTGGGAATGGGGGGTAGTGGTGTGTTGAGCCAGGAATGGTGGAAATGCTGCAAAAATGACTGCAGAGATCAATCTTGGCCATTCTGTGAAGACTGAGCTCTGCAGTCACTTTTGCAGCAGTTTTCTTATTCCGGGTCACAATTCTGCACAATGTCCTTTTGTCTCTTTCAGTCAGTTGACCATGTTGACTGCACTTATGACAACATTTTCCTGGAAACTGTATATCCCACCATAACCTTTCATACTGCACCTCGCGACACGGCAAATAATTTGGCAACTTCAGTCACAGAGGCACCAGCCACGTGGCACCAAAAATTTGCCTTCTTTGAAGCTCAGTAAGCTCTGACATGACTCCATATCATTAGCAGCGCACGCAGTGAATAACAAGGGAGGCTTCCCCCGTTAGCTAGGTGTCTCATCACACAGCGGAAGCAAAAGAATGTTACATCACTTGTGGTTTCAACGTGAAACATGTCGCCACTTTTACACCTGCAAATCATGTAGTGTTTCCCTGTACATCATGAGACTTTTTTTTTTTCTTTTTAATAAAGGACTTGTCAAACTTGTCTTAATTTCTAGCTTTCATTTTGGTGAAAGAGTAGGGGGCGCTATGTACTCTTTACTCATTCACATTGGGGGGGATGGCCGTATCGGGGGGATAAGCCCTGTTCACAGATCCACCAGGTCATGGTTGTGGGGAAGATGCTCTTAAAGTGATTGTAAAGCTAATTGTTTTTCTCTTTCATTAAAATAAAACGTAAAAATATTATGTTATACTTCCCTGCAATTGTATTGGACAGAGCGGTTCCTTACCCAAAGGGCCTGGTATAAGGTATAATGGCCCTCATGCGTTTTTTAGGCGGACTCTAAATCTCAGTAAAATCCCATTTTCCCCAAAAAACAAAAATCATCATCAGCATGTCTGTACAATCCTACACCCCACTGCTGACATTTATCTTCAACACTCTATATCAGCCATATGGCAAATCCCAATTTGTTTCCACTGTTTGAGGCAGATGATTTGCCAGCCCAGTTGTGATGGTGGCAAGTTCCCGGAGATCTGAATTTTTTTTACTTCACGATTCCTGTGGCTGGGCCCTGGAGAAGTGTTTCCACCATTAGATCATCCACTTGAGCTCTAATTCTTCCAATACTTGACAGAAGTCTTGTCTACATACTTTGTGCTAAAAGGTTTCCTGCTTTCCTGTTGGCTATTACCAGGCTATGCCAAATTAAGTGTTGGTAAAAATCACATCACCATTGCCTTTCCAGGACTGCAAGAGTTAAAAGACTGGTCACCCACAACGCAATGGTTACTTGTTGTATCACTGGAAGCACTAAAATGGGCAACTTCCCAACAGGAGTGCTAGACACTGCTATGGAAGGACAAAGCAGATCTGAGGATCTACCAATGTGAACACCAGTTCTAATGACAACAGTCTTAGGAGGGAAATACCTCTCACTTTTTAACTTCCTGTTACAACTCCACAGTAAAGGGAAATGTCCCCAGTGAAGAGAAAAAAAACCCGATATATATTACCCCTAGCTTTAACCATTCACTTTTCTATTCAAAAAATATATATATTTTGGCTATACATACACCAACATTTACCATAGAGTCATTTAAGCCAAGTAGGAATGCAGACTATTTCTTCCCACTTACCTGCCAAGTGGATGTGTGTGAGAGAGTTTCGTGTGGATGAGCCCACAGCAGTCAGCAGGTTGACAGACTGGTCTGACATAAGTGGGCAATGGCTGAGGTCCAGCTTAGACAAGTGAGGACAGTGGCGAATTATTAACCGCAGCGTAACGTCAGAGATGTCTAAACCAGAGAGCCTCAAGTCAGTTAGGAAACGAAGCTTGCTGCGTGTGTCGTGTCCTGTGGACAGAAACAACTCATGGTAGGAGGTAGGAAAAAAAAAATAATTGACATGAAAATTGTGAAGATGGCTGCAACACATAGAAAAAAATGGGCATCTTAATAGTTTTCTACTTGCTGAAGCCAAATGGTTAAAACTCCCTTTGCTAGCAGCATGCTGGAGAGCCGTACCGCCACTCAACAGAGTGCGACGGTCACGTGGCAGCACAATCTTTTGTCCTAATCTCATAGTCCCTATCATATCTATTTTTATTCTTTCCTTAACAGTCTTTGAACCAGAGAGATGGGTCTAATGTGATCCAACTAAGCAACCAGCAGGGTGGTCTTAACCACTTTGCACCGGCGCCTCTCAGCCCTTTAAGAGGTTTCAGAAGCTAGGAGGCGGGGCTTTAGGGTCATGTGAGGGCTGTGATTTGCTGTCACATGATCGGAAAAGGTCCCAATCGCAAGGGGAGATTGGGACCTTTCCGTGAGTCATGGACATATGTGCTGGGAGAGTGTGCTCTCAGCACATATGTATTTTGAAATGGTACACAAATATGCGGCCGCTTGGCGGCAAGGCCCAGACGCCAAGAGGCCGCATATTTGTGTGCGCTCGGCGTCTAGGGGTTAAGATGGTCACAGACAGATTGTGGCTGGATTGTGCATGCTTCCAAAATAATAGGTGCATAAACATATACAATATGCATGATCATATTGCCCAGTGAACTTCCCTGCTGAGGTTAGTTGGGGGCATCGATTCATACCAAAAGGTACTCCTAGACACCACATTTAACTCTTTGCAAACTGAACAGTACAAGGATCTAATGTGTCTGGGCATCTTTAAAGATGCCATATGTGGCCAAATTACAGCAGGTGCTGTAAGTGGTCTGAGCATGGTTTGAGATGGTTGAGTCAACTAGGGGTTAACTAGACAGCAATATACAGCTCTTTCACTTGTCAGTGCTGGTCATAATTTAAAAGGATTTTATATTATGGTGGAACCACCACATGCAAATCACTCTCCTCATCCATGGGAGATTGCACCATCTTCAATTAAAGAGGAAGGATCAGGAGAAAACAAGGTAATCTGGAAGTTCACGTAACAAAGGGCAGTGATCTATTTGTAAATATCTGCAAAAGATTTAAAAGGGCAAGTTCACCTTTGGGAACACGTTACATGTTCCACTTGTTTTAGGGTGGAAAATTTAACATGTTCCCAGTGCTTCAGCCACGGCCACCGCCCTCCCTCTCTTTGACAGATAATGTGGAGAACTTTCCCCATACTATCAGATTTGAAACAGAGTGGCTGTGCGGGGCTCCGCCCACACGGCAGCATCATTCATGGACTTCCCTGAGTGAACTGCAAACCTTAGCAGCTGTCTGCTTGTAGTTTTTAATGAACTACCACGGCGTTCTGGAGAGCGGTGGTAGCTCATTAAAGTTTCCTGCCAGAATATCTGCTTGGCTGTACATCCCGTATGGCAAGCAGATACTCTGACAGGTCTGCAGGAGACCTGCGTGGCATCAGCAATTTACTGATCTCTGGTGCAATGCTTTACAGGCTTCTTTGGACAAAAAATAATAAATGCACATTTTTTTAACTGCAAAAAAATGAGCATTTAATACTTTTGTCCAAAAGGTAAACTTATCCTTTAAGCTTGAGTAAGAATTAATTTAGGACCTGCAACCCACTTCTCTTCTGTTAAGAGTTCCTGACATTCAGAGCCAAGCAACACTGTATAAAAGAATTAACCACAATCTTACCTGGCTTTTCTGATGGCGGTGTAAGCAGGTCTCTGATCTGTGCATCTTTGATTCCCACTGCCCAGCGCAAATCCAACGTTCGCAGGAGAGGACAGCTCGAACTGCTGAGGGCAGACACGGCAGACCACGAACAGCCCGCCAGGATGAGGTCTTTCAACGCTAAAAGAGATCACAAAAGCAATATTAGTTTGGCTTGTTTAACCACCTCAATACCAGCCATTTTCACCCCCTTCCTGCCCAGGCCAATTATCAGATTGCAGCTCTCTAACAATTTGAATGACAATTACTCAGTCAGGCAACACTGTACCCTTATGAAATTTTTTTATAATTTATTTTCACACAAATAGAGCTTTCTTTTGGTCACATTTATTCAACACTGGGGTTTTTATTTTTTGTGCTATAAATGAAAAAATACTGAAAAGTTTGAAGAAAAACAAAAAAACAAATTTTTCTTGGTTTCTGTTATAAAGTTTTGCAAATAAGTAACTTTTCTGCTTAAATTTTGACCATAATTTACAATGCTACATTGCTTTGGTAAAAATAACCCAAATCAGTGTATATCATTTGGTCTTTGTAGTTATAGTCTACAAGCTATGGTACCAATCATTGAAAATTGTTCACACCTGATATACTGACGGCCTATCTCATTTCTTGAGACACTAATGCAGGCCATAGATGGGTCGAAAATCGGCCGATTTTTCGGCCGAAAATAAAATCGGCCGATTTTCGGATCGTTAGTGGGCGATTTGGTCGGCCGTTTTTCGGTGTTTTGGCCATTTTTTTTTTTTCGGTAAAGTTGGAAAAAAATCGGCCGATTTTGCCGATCGGCCGATTTTCGCGGCAATTAGTGGGCAAATCGGCCGATTTTTTACCGATAAAAAATCTGCGCATGAGCAGTGACCTGCAAGAGGAAGACAAAAAGAAGAAAAAGAAGAGGAAGAGGATGAAGAAGAAGAGGATGAGGATGAAGAAGAGGATGAGGATGAAGAAGAAGAGGATGAGGATGATGAAGAAGAGGATGAGGATGAGGAAGAAGAGGATGAGGATGAAGAAGAAGAGGATGAGGATGAAGAAGAAGAGGATGAGGATGAAGAAGAAGAGGATGATGAAGAGGATGAGGAAGAAGAAGAGGATGAGGAAGAAGAAGAGGATGAGGAAGAAGAAGAGGATGAGGAAGAAGAAGAGGATGAGGAAGAAGAAGAGGATGAGGAAGAAGAAGAGGATGAGGAAGAAGAAGAAGAAGAAGAGGATGAAGAAGAGGATGAGGAAGAAGAAGAGGATGAGAAGAAGAAGAGGATGAGGAAGAAGAAGAGGATGAGGAAGAAGAAGAGGATGAGGAAGAAGAAGAGGATGAGGAAGAAGAAGAGGATGAGGAAGAAGAAGAAGAAGAAGAAGAGGATGAAGAAGAGGATGAGGATGATGAAGAAGAAGAGGATGAGGAAGAAGAGGATGAAGAAGAAAAAGTAGAAGAGGATGAGGATGAAGAAGAAGAGGGTGAGGATGAAGAAGAGGGTGAGAATGAAGAAGATGAGGATGATGAAGAAGAGGATGAGGATGATGAAGAAGAGGATGAGGATGATGAAGAGGATGAGGAAAAAAGAGAAGAGGATGAGGAAAAAGAAGAGGATGAGGAAAAAGAAGAGGATGAGGAAGAAGAGGATGAGGAAGAAGAGGATGAGGATGAGGATGAGGAAGAGGATGATGAAGATGAAGAAGAAGAAGATGAGGATGAAGAAGAAGAAGAAGTAGGATGAAAATAAGAGGAATTCCAGTCCAGCAAAAAGTGTCTCTGCAGAGAGCTCCGCTATTTCTTTGACAGTTCTCTGACAGTTCCTTGACATTTACAGCGGTTGCAACATTGTATCTATTTGTTTCCGAATAAAAACATCTGTATCCTAAATGGAAACAAATAGATACATTGTTGCAACCTCTATAAATGTCAAGGAACTGTCAGAGAACTGTCAAAGAAATAGCAGAGCTCTCTGCAGGGACACTTTTTGCCGGCTCTAGACGGGATGAAAATCGGCCGATTTTTTTTTTTTTTTTACCATTGATGGTAACGTCGGCCACTTGAACGACCGATTTTTCCGATTTTTAAAAGAAAAATCTGCCGTTTTTTTCGACCCATCTATGGCCTGCATAACAAGCCAGGACAGTACAAATACACCCCAAATGACCCCTTTTTGGAAAGTAAACATTCCAAAGTATTTAGTAAGAGGCATTGTGAGTTTTTTTAGTTATATTTTTTTCCCCAAAATTTTTTGGAAAAAATAAAATTATTTTTTTTTCCCCACAAAAACGTCATAATAAGTTATTTCTCACACACGGCATAGGATACTTGCGACTACACCCCAAAACACATTCTGCTACTTGTCCTGAGTATGGGGATACCACGTGTGAGACATTTTCTAGTTCAGGCACCTTCAGGCATTATCAACTTTAAGACCAGGCCTACTGACACTTTTTTGTTTACAAGTAAAAATCAGTATTTTTACCAAAAAGATTACTTCGAACCCCTAAACATTATATATTTTTTTAGCAGAGGCCCTATAGAATAAAATGGTGGGTTTTGCCATTTTTTCTTTAATGTCACACACGGTTATGTGTGCAGCGGTTTTTCAAACGCAATTTATTGGGAAAAAAATACACCAAGGAATTTTAATGCACACAAACAATATAATACCCACATTTTTGGTAAAATAGAAAATATGGTAGTAAATAGATACCAAACATATCCACGCTATAAAATTGCGCACGCTTATGGAATGGTGCCAAACTACGGTATTTAAAAAAACTCCATAGGCGACGCTTTTATAAACCTTTACAGGTTACCAGATTAGAGCTACAGAGATGCTAGAACTGTTGCTCTCGCTCTGACATTCGCAGCGATACCTCACATGTGTGGTGTGATCGGTGTTTACAAATGCGTATGAGACCAATGCATGAGTTCACCCTTGCACGTGAGCAAGGGGAGGACAGGGGTGCTTTAATTTTTTTTATTATTTATTTTGTGCACTATACAATGACAGATGTTGACAGACGTTTGTGGGACACGAACAGATGTTGACAGGGACAAATGGTGCTTGGTGCACTGGTGTGGGATGGCTGCAGATCTGTGTAACTGATCAATAAAATCATCAGCTACACAGATCAGCTGTCACAGTTTGCAGCATCCCCCCCTCCCTTAGCTCTCACAGAGCTCAGCTGAGGTAAACAGCTACAGAGACAGTGTCTCTGTTGACATTCAGAGATGGCTGTGATTGGACACAGCCATCACATGATCGGGAGGGCCAATCAGAGAGCCCATATCCTAATCTGTGATGTGCTGTGTCCGAGGGACACAGCCATCACAGAATCACGCTGCTGCGCAGCCTTGGGGCTGCACGCAGGCACGTAGTCTGAGGGACATACAGGAACGTCCACTCAGAACAGGGAAGCTCCCACATGGCCATTTATGTACATTAGCCAGGTGAAAGGTAGGTAAAAAGAGTTGCCGTTAAGTTAACGTGGTTGTAAAGGCTAATAGATATTTACCATAATGCATTTTTTTTGCATAAAAGGTAAAAAAAAAAAATATATATATTTGTGCGGGAGACATTGGCTCCTGCAAATCAAATCCAGTGACAAAGGAACTGGGGGGAGCTGCAGGTCTTATGATTACAGTAAAATACAGTGATTTAATCTCTACCATTTAAAAGTAAAAAAAAAAATATATATTTGTGGGGAGAACCCCTCAGTATATTAATGAATGAGCAGCAGCATAATGATTAGACCATCCTCTCTGCTCTCTCCTCCTATCAGCAGGGCCCTTGTCAGTATTATTTGTATGCCATAAACCTGATTGCCCCCCAGTACCCTCCCCCCCCCCCCCCCCGTCCCTTCTCCTAGAAGCTGGTATCATTAAACTTGTCATTCTTGCTTTGAATAAAAGCCTCACTGCCCCTTGTAATCTGTACTCACCAGGCAATCGATTGACCAACCAGGTAAGCTGCTTTTTGGATACATTTGTCCAGCTCAGGTCGAGCTGTACTGGTTGTCTTTTAATGATGCCACTTAGGGCCTGAGGCACCAGAGACTTGCAGCGGCTGACATCAATCCTGGACCAGAGGCGTTTGTCGCATCCCCTAGAAGACAAAAACAACTGCTCAGCACAAAGTCCTTCCTAAGGGGGAATATAAGCAAGACGCTTCATAATCTGAATAGCTGTCATTCTCTGAAACTCAACACCATAGGTTCCTCTAGACATCTAGAAATTAAATGGCTCACAGCAAATATAGGGAAGAGAATCCTTCAACTCCACGGTCAACACTGATCTCACGCTGGACCAGCATAGATATGGCCTTCAGCCCCTGAGGCACTGCTCTCTGCCACACAAAACTGTAACCACTCCAATTAGTGGTGCACCAAAATGCAAATTCTAGTGCTGAAACTGAAAACGAAAATTCAGGATGCACTTGGCCGAAAACCAAAATGTCTACATATGAGGGGGTGGGGAGGCTCAAATGTTTATTTATCTTTTTAACTTTTAAATGTGTGTTTTTATTTTAACTTTTTTTTTAACTTATGATTTTCTTACTATCACATAGATGTATTTTATTGGGATTTTATGTGATAGACCAACACAAAGTGGCACATAATTGTGAAGTGGAAGGAAAATGATAAAATGGTTTCAAAGTGTGGGATGACCTGTCTGGTGTGTTCCTTGGCCTTCATGATGCTGTTTGTTCACCAATGTTCTTAGCAAACCTGAATACAAATGCACAACATTTTTTCAGATATTTATTTGTAAAATATTTTGAAAACCATTTATCATTTTCCTTCCACTTCACAATTATGTGCCATTTTGTGTTGGTCTATCACATCAAATCCCAAAAAATTAAATTTACCTTTTTGGTTTTAACAAAACAAAATGTGGAACATTTCAAGGGGTATGAATACTTTTTCAAGGCACTGTATTTATCATGTTATCAAATGTACTGTATCAAATGTATGAGGATTTTCATACGAATGTCTGTTTTAAAAAACTTCATACAAAAAACTTGTATTAAAAAAAAAAAAAAAGTAATGTAACCAACTCTCCCTCAGTACCGCGTTAAGTGGAAAAACTATGACGTTCCATAGGCTCAATACTGTGGCCTACATTTTAGACATGAGCTGCAAAATACAGGCTGCAATATTGAGCACTGACCTGGAATAAGTATTAGAATGTTATGGTAGAGAAAGAAGATCTGGACTCCATACTTACTGCAGGCTGTGATTCAAAATTAGAGAAGTCGTTGGTTCAGCAAGACAGCATAACAACAAGAATTGTCATAGGAGAAAGGTCACCCTGTTTTTTTTGGTGGGGGGGTTAGCACATGTTTTCTAAGCTGGGCCGGGGGCAGCGGAGTGGCTGCCTGATAAATCCTTACTACTGGAGTACATAGAAAACATGCCTCTTCTTCTATGAATGCTATACTGTTACCCTATAGGTAGTATTGTTATTAAGATCACAGGGGATGATGACAATCATTATGCAACTACTAAAAAGCATACAAGAATACAGGCACTAACCACTTATACCAGGCTTTGCAGACCCTCATACACACACAGAGCTCCTTCTTGGTGAGGTACTGGAAGACAGAAAGCCACACATCCTTCTGAATGGACAGCTGGTCTCTCTTCTGTCCATACATAAGGCCGTTTTCCCCTTCATCATCATCATCATCCTCCTCCTCCTCATCCTCTTCCTCCTCCTCTTCATCATCATCTTCGTCTGGTGGTTGAGGAGGCGGTGGGCGGATAGGATGCCGGGAATTTGGTGTAATGGCTTGCAGCTTAGGGACTATTGAAGAACTACTCAGCTCTTTTGGGGGTCGCTGTAGTGTGACGGTGAGGTAGGAGCCCCGATGCCAGATGCGGTCAGCCTCAGATTGCTCTCTCCCACTTGGGTGGTTTCTCTTTCTCTCTGGCTAGCTGCCGCCGCATGGCTCTATCTTCTCTGCCAACGTGCGTGACTTGCGGCGTGCTTGGTGGTGGGGATGGTGGAGCTGATGATGGAGAAGGTGGAAGGAGAAGAAGTGGCGGTGATGGAGGACTCTGTACCAGTGGAGGCCTCAGAACTTTGGCTGATAAATGGGGATCCAAGTCACAGTTATCCACAGCTTTACGTTTCTGAAAACCAAAACAGTGAATTATGTTTTCGGCAGGTAATTTAATGAACCGTAAACGTTATGAAACACCTGATGGAGGACTTTTCATTTAGCAGAAGACAAAGCTGTGAAGAAAGACAAGTAAACATTGCCCTTACCTACAGGCAACATTAGGAGGAGAAATACACCTGGAAAGAGATTTCTTTTGTCAAGTTAAAGGGTCTTAAAATGCCTACACCTAAAATAATAGAGCCAACAGGCAAATAAAGAATACGCCTGGGTTCACATATATGCGGTACATCACATGTGATTCACACAGGAACCGCACCACATTCCTGTGCAAATCACATGCGATTTGTGTGCGGTGCGATTGGAACCATACATTTTGTATGGCTTCAACTGAACCGCACCCACACCAAAAAGGTGCAGGACCCTTTTTTGGGTTCGCACTAGAATCGGATCACATGGGTATTGACACCTATGCGATTTTATTCTGCACATCGCACCACATTTTTGCGGACCGCTTTCTGGGTGTTGTTAACATACACACCCGCAGCGGTTCGCATGAACGGGGTGCGTTCTGATGCGGTGCGGAATTTACATAGAAAAATGCTGCGAATTTCGAACTGCATCAGTGTGAAGCAGAGCTAAAAATTCTCATTACTTCAAAAACAGACTTAAAGTGTAACTTCACTTTCATGAGAAACAGAGAAAACCTAAACAAACACACAGCAAAAAAATATAGCATATACAACGGCTACACGAACCATACTGTAATTTATTCTTGTTAAAAAAAAAAAAAAAAAAAAAAAAAAAATCACCTTTCCTCTTCAATCTGCACCTGTTGAAATTTTCTGCAAAATTCAATGCAATATGGCAACCTGAAGGCACTCCCCAGGGACTGACATTTCCTGCTTGTGTCATTGGCTTACTCAATTTTCCAAAGTTTTCAATAAAATATGTTAAATTGTAGGCATCCTCTGCACTAAAATTTTTAGTTTTGGTGAGATACTCTGAGGGTTCACCACTTCCAAAGGGATGCGGACACTGCAACTTTACTCATCAGAACACAGAGTGCACCAGTGGATTAGAATAAACTAAACCATTGTTTAGAGTTTGTATCCACAGGATATAGCAGAAGAAAAAAAAAAAAAAAAAAAAAAGCTTTTCCCCCCTACAGCAGAAAATGGTAGGACTCTGCAAAAAGTGTAAGACTTTGCACAATGACCATTGACCAGGGGATTGTGTTTGTTCAACAAAAGTAGAGTTACTCTTTAAACCTCCATAAAAGTTTAAAAAAATAAAAAGGAATACGTAAAGAACGTGCCCTTCTCCATTACCCTCCTTCAATGCTGCACATTAAAATGGAAGTCCAGGCTAGATCCAAGCTTAAAACTGCTCCCCCCCCGTGAATCCTATACCAACTACCCTGCAGAAGGAAGATGCTTATATTTAACTATTCCCAGGGCGCTCCGGTCATGAAATTGGCTCCGAGTGACCAGCTTCAGGGTAGAGGAGGGACAGGAGACAATGGATGTCTCACAGTAAGCCTGTGGGTGACTTGACTGCCCAGGCATTGCAGCCGTTGTCAGTGCGCTCTCCTTTCCCCTGAAGCCAGCGACTGGGGAGATCATATGACTGGACTGGTGTGCCCTGTGAATGGGCAAGTACAGACATCTTCCTTTTACAGGGTAGTCAGAATGGGATTTAGAAGGAGGTGCGAGCAGTTTTCGGCTTAGAGCTAGCCTAGAATTCTACTTTAAAACCCAACTGAACTTTCAGTTTACAAATCAGCTAAACACATTGAAGGTGCAGCAAACGTAAAAGGTGTGCAGAGTCTTACAGTCTGCTTTCATTAGAACGTAGCCGCTGCCTGAGTAAGGAAAGCTTGCCCCTTGGAAGCAGTGGTCTCTCTGCACAGGCCCAACATGCCTCCTACTAAATCAGAGCCAGCACTCTTTAAATCAGGGCTCGTAAGCATTGCTGGTTGGACAGCTTTAGCTGTGACTTAGCAGGGGGTGTGTCGGACCTTTACAGAGTGCCTCCTCACAGAGGCCAAGGGTCCTGCTTTACAGCATACTGGCAAGGTAAAGGCTTTTCTATGTAAGATGTGGTTGCTTTAGAAGTAAAACCAACTGTAAGACTTTGCACAAAGTTTGTTTTGATGCAACTGGAATGTAGTAAAGTTCGTTTGGGCTTAAGCAAACTTCCTTCTGACCCCCTATTTCACAGCTTCCATGTTTAATAGCAGAGAGGACATTCGACTGAAGCCTTCTGTGGCATTGAAACATTTTTCTAAGAGGAACTCCCCTTGCCTCCAATTTCTAGTCAGCAGTAGGGACCCCTCGTTCCCATGCACTACTGAGTGATCTGCTTGTGTGTGTAAATTACAGCAAGAAAGCAGTTCAACAGAGTCAAGGAAAAAGTCATTAGTACCATATAGCAAAACAAGCATGCTGCTTAGTAAGTAATCTAGTGAGGAAACAGGCGAGTGAAGGGTTAAGGATAACACTGGGGCCTGAGGGACTAAGAAAGCCCATTAGACTTAACTGAAATGTTAGTTTGAGTGATTTCACACTCCAAGATCTTAGAGCAATTATTGTTCAACTTTTTTGCACAGCACAATTTATGCCTCTAGGTACAACTTAAAGTAGATGTAAACCAGATCACTGAAATCTCAAACACAGCTTTCAACACATTAACTGTTCATTTACCACATTTTTACAGTTGCTCTGAAGTCTAAAGGCATTTTGCCATGATGCTTCTCTGTATTAAAAGGTAAAAAAACCCCAACACCTGACTACCCGTCCTACCCCGAAACACTTCCTTGGCTCCATCTTACCACTCCCCTGCCGCCACCGGCTCCAGCACCACTCCCCTGCCGCCACCGGCTCCAGCACCACTCCCCTGCCGCCACCGGCTCCAGCACCACTCCCGTAACTTCCTGCTTTCACAAGAGAAACTGAAGGGAGTAGAGCCATAGGCTGTGATGAGGGAGCAGGGGAGTGGCTTACTGTGTGTTTCTAAGGATGCACACAGTCTGGCTCAGGAGTGGGCATGCACAGGTGCCTCCTTAGCACCGGGCTTGCTGCTGGAGGTACCTGAGGAGAGCAAGGCTGAAAACCCTGGTTGGGGGATTGCCAAAAGAGGAGGTAAGCAACCTTTCTGTGCAATGTGCAAAGAGCAGATAAGTATTACCTCTGTTATTTAACAGCTTGCCTACCACCAATAGTAACTATACATCCCTTAAGGGAAGCAGTTATATTGGGATCATATTTGAGGCTACAACCATGATCTTAGTATCACTTTTCTTTCTTTCTTTTTTTTTTTTTTTACTGCAGCCAATACGCTTTGAAGTGAAAGTAATCCGACTGGCTAAGCAGCCACTGGATTACTTTTACAGGAGGTGGGAGGGGACGCCGCCCACCGGCGCTGTTAATGGGCTTTCTGTGCAATCGGGAAACCAGGATCTGATCACAGAGCTGACCGAAGACCAGATTATACCAGGCCATCTGGTCCTGGGAGGCTGGAAGTGATGTCATGACGTCAATTCTAGTTCTGGCTGATGTAAACACTGCCATTTTTTTATGCTGGAAAATCTGAGATCAATTTTTTTTTATTTCATGCTTTCCAGCATAGAGGAGAGATTTGGGGTCTTACAGACCCCAGATCTATCTAAAAAGGGGACCTGTCATGCCTTATTTCTATTACAATATTACAAGGGATGTTTACATTGCTTGTGATAGAAATAAAAGCGATTAAAAACAAAAAAAACAAAAAAAGGGACAGTTTTAAAAAAGTGAAAAAAAAAATAAAATTGTAAACTGAGTTCATACCACACATGTGCAGTATCGACATGAACAGTATAACTAGAGCCATATATCTACCGCTAAACTTCCTCTGTAACTCTAAAAGGGGTAACTTGTAAAAATTTTTAAAGCGTTGCCTGTGGAAATTTTTAGGTACCGTAGTTTGGCGCCATTCCACGAGCATGCGTAATTTTAAAATGTGACATGTTGGTTATCTACTTACTCGGCATATCTTTTATACTTTACAATAAATTGGTTTATAAAAATTGTGTTTTTTTCTGCATTAAATCTCATTAAAGTGTATTAAAAAAGAAAAAAAATTTTCTGCGCAAATAACATGAGACATTAAAAAAAAAAAAATCCACACACTCTAACACGCACCATTTTATTCTCTAGGGCCTACATGTAGGAGAGAAATGTCAGAATAGACCTGGGAAGCAGGTGACAAAAAAAAAAAAACAAAAAACATTAAGCCTTTAGTATCACTTCACATCTGCAGCTTTCATTTATGTAATCCTTGCTGATTCTACCATGAAGAGCCACAATCAGGACCTTCATGGAATAATCATGAAAGTCCTGATCAACGCTCTGTCCTGGCTTCCCATTTGCGCTTCCTGCTACATGGGCTTCCCAAGTCTCTGCTGTGACATTATGCACGGATGGTCCAGTGCCGTCACCATCAGGAAACCCACCCTGAGAAAAGCCATGCAGCCACCACTTGAGTGCATGTAGACAGGGAAGTGGCTGCAGGGGATCAGCAGCATAAAAATATTTTATCTACAAAAAAAAAAAAAAAATGTTCATGTTACATGTGTTAGAAAACCAAGCGTCATTCAGAAAGGGTTTACATCTACTTTAAGATCTGCTTTACATGATTATTTGTACGTTAACACCACAGAGCAATACACCTTTCAAAAGGCAAAAACTTTAATAAAAATATAAAAATGGTGGTTATTTTCATAGTAGTACATTTGTGTAAACCAACAGGAAAGGTGCAATGCTACGCAGTATCATTTCATATTCATGATTTCCTGTATACTCTAACAGATATTACACACTATATGACAAAATTTGAAAGTATAGGAAATTACTAAAAGTTCAGACATGAAAGGGGAAGTTTGAGGGGGACAAATGAATGCACACTTCACTGCTATTAAAAAGTAACACCACCCAAATATTATATCAGTTATAGGCAAACTCTCAATAGTTAAGT